ATGCAGAGTGTAATTTATGTAGTTTTTTCAACAAGAATTTTTTCTAACTTCTCTTTAGTTTGTAAAGAGTTCAAATGAACGCAGTACAGTGGATGTGTCCTTAAACCCTAATTTACTCTTTGATCTGAAAGACTATAACAGTGTTCCCCGACTTATATTTGTTTCAGGCCGACCTCAAACTTAATGAGATGTATTCACCCTATTTCGTGTAAGGTGATGAAGGACTGGTAGTAGAATTTTCCAACAATGATATGAGTTGAGCTGACGTTTCCATTGAATTTTCACATAGCCTTGCTTTCCCAAAAGTTGGTTTCATCCAGGGTGGACTGCAGTTTCTGATTTACTGGTAGTCTCGACACCCTACTCACATACGAATATAAATTATCAATGTCGGTTTCTGGACTCGATAACTGCTAAGTCTAAAGTTCCAGATTAATAAACACTGCTCTTTGTCCATTTTGCTCATAAGAGTTTTGTTCATTTTCATTCTTTGTACTTTATCATTTTGGGTAACCTTTACGGAATACTTTATCTAATATCTTTAGTAATCTCTAGTGCTATTTATTATACTATTTAATTAACCATTTCAGACAAAAACAGTCCGTCTTTTTGCCAAGCATGAGCTGACCTCGCGTAAAGACACTATTCCTCTGGTAGCCCACTGTGTGACCGCCATCTCCAATTGGCTGGCAATTGAGCAGTCCAGAGAGAAACGAGCGGTTGTTACTCAGTCAATTCATACCTGGCTGGAGAGAGTCAAGCTCCTGCGCAATAGCTGTCTTGAAAACTCAAAGCAACCCCAAATTTTTTCTAATCCAGAGGACTATAACGAAGCTTTGGTTCTGGACATGGCGCAGCGGATCTTTTATACACTGCTAGATAGTTTTAAAGAGTCCTGAAGAACGTGTCTCTTTTATACCTTTTTAAAATAAACTAATTGTTCATGCTTAAAAATTATGTTTGGACGGTTTACTGAACCTATTAGCATTAGTATCTTTCAATGAA